GAGGGGGGAGCAGCCTTACCAGGCCACAGTAGAGGACAATGCAACCACTTTTGATGAGAACTGATAGACTAAGATCAGAAAGGAGAGGAGAACCTCCCCTATCAGTGGACTTGGGGAGTGGCATGCATGCAGAAAGGGGAGGGAGGGTGGGATCGGCAGGGGAGGAGGGAGGGGCTTATGGGGGGATACAAAATGAATAAAGTGTAATTAATAAAAAAAAAAAGAAAAAGAAAAAAAATTATCTGGGTTAAGCAAAAAATTATAAGTAAATTTATTTTCCCCTTTTCCCGATATCTGCTATGTGCTATTTAATTTCATGGTCTGCTCCTCTTTTTTTTTAACTTTTATTAATTACACTTTATCCACTTTGTATCCCCCCATAAACCCCTCCCTCCTCCCCTCCCAATCCCACCTTCCCTTCTTCTTCTTCAAGCCTGCCCTTCCCCACGTCCATTAATAGGGGAGATCCCTCTCTCCTTACTTCTGATCTTAGTCTATCAGGTCTCATCAGGAGTGGCTGCATTGTCATCCTCTGTAGCCTGGTAAGGCTGCTCCCCCCTCAGGGGGAGGTGATCAAAGATCGGGCCAATCAACTCATGTCAGAGACAGTCCCTCAGTAAATTTATTTTTAATGCTAAAAGTTTTTCTAACACTGTAGAGAAACTGTTACTCCCCTATCTAAAATAATTTCTCAATATGAAGCTAAGTCTAATATCCAAAATAATAGGATTGATAATAAGCAAAGGAGAACATAGAAACCATAGATTTATATTGGAAGCTTTCCATCTCATTTACATAAGCAGTAACTGAGGTACAAAGAAATTGCACCGACTTAGAAAGGAAAATATAAGCTTAAGGAACTGAAATCTCAAAACTGTTATTCCTGCATACCTCAACCGTATAAAAATCAAGCTCTCAAAATTTATAATTACAAAGTTTTTAATAAAAAGAACAAATCCAGCAAAATGCATTTCAACTAAGGAAGCTAAAGCAACACAATTTTATATTTTCCAGTTTTTCTGAACTAAATGTTGCCATTTCCTGGGAATAACTGAGCTTTCACTTTGGTGTTTCAATAGATTTAAGGCCAAAGTCCCTTTTCATAAGAATGGTAGATCGAATATTATCCACTCAGAACCTCAGAATATGACTTTATAGTTTTTAGTTATAAAATAAAGATCACAGTAACATTTCTACTAGATCAGTATGAATCCTAACTCCAATTAAGATGACCTCATAAAAGGCAGACAAGTGGTCAAAGGATAAAGAAACCATGTGAGAATAGAAGGCTAGACTCAGTGCACTACAAGACAAAAAAAAAATCTAGGAGCTGAAATAGACAAGAGCTTCCTCTAGGGTCTTAGTAGAAGCTCTAAGAAACCTCTTTCTACTTTAACTGTAAAAGACTAAATTTTTACTGTTTTAACAGCTCAGTTTGTGGTAATTGTTACAAAAGCCACAGGAGATTAAAAGGATGACACTCAGTGATCCTAATTTCAGGGAATACTTAACTGTTAAAATAGACTGTACTCGAAGTGACTTATCTTTGAATTTACTGTTTATTCTATCTGTATAACTTAATTCATATACTAATGATTCTTAGTTTATTCTTACACTGATTTCCTTTTTGTTGTTGCTTCCTTGATTTTATTTACATATTTGTTTCTATCAATTAGGAAAATGAATCTGCTGTTTGCTTTGTTGGTTTTTGGGATTATTTGTTTGATCCTGAGAGGGAGGCTAAGTAGAAAGTAGAAAGTAAAAAACTAGAGAGCAAAGTTTATGATTTAAGGTGGGTTTATCCTAGTGGAAATAGGAAGTATACTCTATGGTATACTATTGAGAGGGTACTGACACTTCAAAGGAATAAAATTAGTCTTCTTTAATGTAGAAACTGTTAGTATCGTTAAGTAACTATTTCATACAGCACTTCTACACACTTTTCTTAAAAATTAATATCAATCTTTACTGTGAGTTCTTAATGGGGAAAGACATTACCCTGTATTTTCAGTACTTAGTCATTTGATATAAACACATAGCATACTACCAACATAACAGTGTACTCATGTAGGGTTCTAATGGATAAGGTTGTATGTAGTCAGCCACCTCCAGATAGCCAATTATTTCCACTCAGTCTATGATTATAGACTCCCTTTTCTCAGTGTGGTTTTAAAAGTCTCCCCTCATCTGGGAGACCCCCAGGTCTTGTAAGGAGCACAACAGAGCTATCAGGGAAGATTACAGGCCAGACCCTTCCTTGATAAGAAAACTACTCTAGCAAGCATTTAGGTATTCCTAGAAACTACCCACCCTGATAAGGATCTTAGTCCGAAAGTGAGCTTCAGATGTACTTGGAGATCACACCCCAACCCAACCCATAGGATAATTAAATACTGTATTTTCCTTCTTGAGATAGGACGATTAAGTATCCCTGACCCTCTGACCCCAGCCAGTCAGTGCATTTGCATTCATTCTTTAAATCCTTCCCTCTATCCAGGGTTTATATTGTCCTTGATATCACATACAAAAAAAGTAAGCACCTTCTCATTTCAAGACCAAAAGAGCTAAACTGTAATACTCTCTGGAAAAACTTTTCCACACCCCGGCTTAGAGCACTGGGGCCTCACCCTAAAGTGCTCTAGCTGCCCCTGAGAGAAACAGAACTCCCATTCTCCATCTTGAAGGCAAACACCAGGACCGGAGCCGAGATCCAGGACCCCCATGAAAGGAAAATAGCATAGGCAGAAACCATATTTAGACTGCAAATATAAAACAGAAAAAAAAAATCTATAACAACAAATTTATTCATAATTTTAGGAAGAAAAATTGAGATATGTGGTGATAGTTAGGAGATTTTTATTCCTACTTCCCTTCCAGTCTTTGCCATAGAGTAGTATTTACTTTAATTTTTTTAATTTCTTTAATTTTTTTTAATTTCTTTAATTTTTTAAATTTTTTTTAAAAAATTTAAAAAATTTTTTAATTTAAAAATTAAATTTAAATTAAAATTTAAAAATTAAATTTAAATTTAAAAATTTAAAAAATTTTAAAAATTTCTTTAATTTTTTTAATTAATTTATCCATCTCATCTGGCATAGCCTGTAAAGTATCATCTATTCTTTTATTTTTTTCATGTGAACTGGATTACTTAAGAGAAAATGTATGTGCTTCCTTAGGATGTCAGATGTCGATCTGACATGTGGATGTGATCAAGATTAAGAAAGGGACATGTTGTCTGAAGACAAAGACTCTGCCAAGCTTTGTACATGCCAACTACAGCCCATGATGGCCACAAAAGAATTTTATACTGTCTCAGTTCTCTAAGCTGGGAGAGTAAAACTAGAGAGGTTCATCTACATTTTCTCAGGCTTCTCCTGAAATGTAATTGTTTCCCTCTACCACCTCTGTATCAGTTTTCCCTAGGAACAGAAAATTATATGAACCTCAGATAAAAGTAACAATACCTGGCATTTATTTTGGTTGTTGATACTATGGTTACTGTGTTTTTATTCACTGTTTCTGTTTTCTTTGGAAAATTATGCTTAGAGAATTTCCTTAACAGAAAAAAAAATTTTTTTCTTTATTTTTTTTGTATGAATGCATTTTTATATTGCATGTACGTTTGTGTAACACATGCATTGTTATCAGAGGAAGGCAGAAGAGGGCACTTGATTTCCTGGAATCAAAGACAGAGTTAAAGATGGTTGTGAGTGGTCAGGACAAGATGACAGCACCAGGAGAATACTGTGTCTGAAGAGCAGGACAACATTTATTATGTATACAATGTTTTGCCTGCAGGTCAAAAGAGGGCACCAGATCTCATTATAAATGGTTGTGAGACACCATGTGGTTGACTGGGAGTTGAACTCAGGACCTTTGAAAGAGCAGTAAGTGTTCTTAACCTATGAGGCATCTCTCCAGCCCCATGGAAGGCTCATCTCAACACTGTCTTTATTATGAAATTATATGTTCAAAATTTCAAAGTATGGTATGAATATAAATAAACAATATATTGGAATTTATTCTTAATACCATTTGAATGACTGATATGTGAATTATTTTCAGAGCATTATGAACTGGACCTGAGCATAGAGGAAATGAATAAAATTACAAAGCTTTTTTATGTAATTATTTAGTAAATTTTGAACTCAAGACACTGATAATTTAGTATGTAGATCCAAGAATATTATAATATTACAATGAAACCTATTTTTCTTCATAAAGTATTATTTAGGGTGTTACTAATTTTAAGGCTCATTACTGTCAATAAAAAAAGGATTATTATTCAATCCATTGATACCAAGGAACTGCCTAATAGTGTATAAAACATAAGGAGTTTATTATTTATTTATTTATATACATGTTTATTTGTGGGTTTTGTTTTGTTTGAGACAGGGTTACTCTGTGTAGCCTTGGCTGTCCTGGACTCGCTTTGTAGACCAGGAGAACTCGTAGTGATACGTCTGCCTCTGTCTCACTGAGTGCTGAAATTAAAGGGCAGGTGCCACTATGCACAACTGATAAGGAGTTTATTAATAGTCTCTATTTCATTTCTTTATTGGTAAAATAGTTTGGGCTATCTCAAAGTTAAAAAAATGTGTGAGTCGTCTATGTAAAATTTAATATGAAATTATATACATCTGTATATATACATAGATATATGTATATATAGTCACAAATATGAAAGGAATTAAAATTTTGACTCATAGAATTAACATGTTTTGCAGATTTACCTTCTGGACTTATAGTATATAATCAAAAAGGAAATAAATATTTAAATTTTATATTTCTGGATCATACAGTATTAAATTTCAGATTAGCTAACCATATATTTTTAAACACTTAGAACCTGAAAATCAGATGTTGCTCTTATATTGAGGATCCTATACTCCTGGAAAGAAAATATATTGAGGTTAAAGTAACATATGTAATTATACTTCCATATATCTATATACAATGCAAAATGTATGAATTCTATCAAAATGTTAGGAACAGCCTACCTGACAGGATTGCTAGTTAAGGAAACCCTCAGAGATTCCAGGCAGTTGAGAAGTTTCTCATCTGAGATCCCAGATCGCAATTCATGAACATATTCTTGTGAAGACAGAGTGCATTCGTGCTTGCTGTTTTTTAGGCCACCCTATAAAACAAACGGAAGATATCACTTTAGACAGACAATATTTTTTATATATCTTGAAATTAAAATAAAATACAGACTATATAAGTAACAATATGGCATATTCAAATAAAGCTAATACTGGGTTATCCTCATCTAAGCAATACTGAGAGCTAACACTTTGCAAATCAAATTAAAAAATAAACATAATTACAAAAAAAGTATATCAATATTTTACTTTGTGCAGCTACTTTTTTATTTTATTTTATTTTTATTTTTAGTTACATTTTGTTAACTCTGTGTCCCAGCTGTATCCCGCTCCCTCATTCCCTCCCCAACCCCACACTCCCTCCCTGGTCTCCTCTCTGCCCCTTTCCAAGTCCACTGATAGGGGAGGACCTCCTCCCCTTTCATCTGACCCTGTTTTATCAGGTATCTTCAGGGCTGGCTGCAAAGTCCTCCTCTGTGGCCTAACAGACTGCTCCTCCCCTGGGGGGGGGGGTGTCAAACAGCCTGCCCTTGAGATCCTGTTAGAAATAGTCCGTGTTCCCCTTACTTTGGAAAACTACTTGGTTACTGAGCTACCACAGGCCACATCCGAGCAGAAGTTTTAGGTTATATCCATAGATGGTCCTTGGTTGAGTGTCAGTCTCAGAAAAGACCCTGTGCCCAGATATATTTGGTCCTTGTAGAGCTCCTATCCTTTCCATATCATACTACCTTCCCTTCTTTCATATGATTCCCTGCACTCTGCCGAGGGTTTGCTTATGAGTCTTAGTGTCTGCTTTGAAACACTGCTAGGTAGAGTCTTTCAGATGCCTTTTGTGGTACACTCCTGTCATAAGTTCAATGCACACCCCATTTGTCTTTCTAAATGAGGATTAATCACCTTCGCCTGTGTCCACTTTCTTGATTATCTTCTTTAGGTGTGTAGATTTCATTATG